CTGTTAGCATTGCTGGAACTGTTATGAAGATCATCAAATGGACCCCTGGCTTTGACCCTAGTAAAGAGCCTCCTGTTGTCCCCATTTGGTTTAAGCTACCTGGATTACCATCACCCTATTTTAAGCTTAATGCCCTTTTTATATTGGTAGAGCACTAGGAACTCCTCTGAGAGTGGATGCTCCCACTTATAACAAGGCTAGACCTGGTCTTGCTAGGATTCAGGTGGAAAGAGATGTCACACTCCCTGAACTGAAGAGAATCTGGATTGGTTCTGATGCTGATGGGTTCTGGCAGGATATTTTAGCTGAACAGAAGCCTTACTATTGCCCACATTGCAAGATGTTTGGGCATACAACTGATAAGTGTTATGATTACACCCTCCAAATAGGAAGATGGCAAGAAAAATCAACACAGAAACTGGGACAATTGTGGCTAAAGATGCAAGGGGCATTACTCAAGAAATTATGTTAGAAAAATGGCTGGAAACCAATAAAAGGTCTGAAGAGCCATCCCCAAGGTCTCATGAGGATCCAACACAGATTGATCCTCTTGGAGAACCAACTGAAACATATAGCCAAGAAGACACTCTACTACACAGATCAATCAGGAAGGAAAATACTGAAATCACAATTATCACACCCACATCCCCCTTGCTTGCTGAGAAGAGGAAGGAAAACATCACAGATAAATTTGATAAAGCCCCACAGGAACAAAGCATTAACGAACTGAAACAATCTATTGAGGAGGATTGGCAAGTTAAAACAGCAAGGAAAAGAAGAAAACTAGGTACAGAAGTGAAGAAATTACAAGCAGGAGTACAATCTATGAAGGCTGATAAAATGAGGAATGGGTCTTCACTCCTTAGAGGAAGAACCAGATCTAAATCCCAGCCTTCCCCACATCCTCCATTCCATGATTAATCTACTTTGTTGGAATATAAGGGGGATGGCTAACCCCTATCTCTTAAAAGAGTTTTATACTTGAATTATAAATACAAATTATGGTGCATTGCCATTCTTGAACCCATGGTTCATAAGAATCCACACAATCTGATTAAAAAATTTGCTGGTTTTACCCATTTTGGAAATACTAACAATAAAATTTGGATCTTTTGCAGAAAAGAAACCAATATTGATATCCTCATTGACCATCCACAATTTGTCCACCTCTCATTCAATATGAATGGACACATAGGTGAAGCT